AAAAAAAAAAAAAAAAAAAAAAAAAAAAAAAAAAAAAAACTGTGTGGTTTTTGCAGTCACAGTCACAATGATGCATTTCCTATCTACTAGGAGAGTCACCACTTCTGGATGTCCAGAGAAACAGGTAAAATGTAGAGCAGTTCTATAGAAGCAAGAGGATTTGTTAGGAAATTTTAGAGCACTCTCTCACAATATACAATTATTTATGCACTTGTAAATATTAAATAGTATGTAATTATTATGCCTAAAAAACAAATATTTTATGTCTTCTGAGGAAAGTACAATATTTAGCAATATTTAGTAGTACCTTTAATTGTTGTATTAATGAAGGTTTCTTTTCTTATTTTATTACTATATTAATGTGGTGTCTTTTTTTTTTTTTGGCAGTGCTGGATATGAAACCAGGATCCTCCAAAAACTGGGCAAGCAGTCTACCACTGATTTATATCTCAAGCCCAGAGAAGCCTAATTGAATAGAAAGAATATGGCCTTTCAATTTAGTTAAACTTGAGTCTAAATTTTACTATAAGTTCTGCTACTTAAAAGCAGATATATTTTTTTCAAGGTTTCAATTTACTTGTCAAAAAATGGGCATTAAAAATACTAGTTAACTCACAGGACATTACTGTGATGCTTTAACATGCTTCTATGCTAAGTATTTAGAAGGTTTGTAAGTCTTCAATAACAACTCAATAATCATAATTTATAATTATTATGTTATTGCTACTTAACAAAGACAACATTTCAGCTAAGTAAAACAATCTAATTATATCTATTTTTCAGATACATCTTGAAGAATATAAATTTCAGTGAGTCTAAGATGCTATTTTTCTCACATTTTAAGATTTTTAACATTGGAATACCACTTAGCATTTGTGAGGTGTTAAAACTATACTTGGCAAAATTTTTTAAAATTTCATAAGAAAAAATTTTGGTGCTTTCACATAATTCATGGTGCCTTACATAAAATAAAGTATGATAAACCTGACAAGTCTTTAGCTATCTAGACAGTTGTTTGGCATTTATAGAAATTGTGATTCTTATCTGTACTAAAAGTGGAAGAGACCTGTACACACACACACACACACACACACACACACACACACACGTAAAAAATTAATTATTTGTTTTTAAACCAGTGGAGTTGGTGCATGTCTATAATCCCAGTGGCTCATGAGGCTGAGATAGGAGGATCTCAAGTTCAAAGTAGGCTCAGCAACAGTGAGGCAATATGAAACTCAGAGAGACCCTGTCTCTAAATAAAATACAAAATAGGGCAGTTGTGGCTCTGTGGTCCAGTGTCCGAGTTCAATCCCTGAAACTCAAAACAAAACACTCTATTTGTTTTCCAAGAAACATTAACACAAAGAAAACTTAGCATTGAAATGGGTGTCTCATTCAATATTTGGATATTTAAAATATATGGAAAAGCAGATGTTTCTAATGCCTAATGACAATAATATTATTGTAATTTTTCAAAGACATTAAAGATACTTTTACATAATAATTATATATTATAGTTGGCTTCATTGTGGAATATTCATAAATTCACATAACATAGTTTGATCACTCACATTCCCTAGTACCTTCCCTTCCCCTACCTTTTTCCTAATCCCTGATATCTCTTCAGACCCAGTTTCACTTTGCTTTTCATTGAGTATTCTATTTTCCCCCTTTTTTCTATCTACCATTCCCATGTCAGAGAAAATTTAGGACCCCCGAAGTAGGACTCCTGTAGGAGCCAAGCAAGACATGCCACAGGGTCTTCACAAGGAAGTCTGTAGTTTGGTGTCTGATATGGGCCAACCAGTAATGGTTGCCCAGCTACGATGGGGACACAGCAGTGCATGTGCACCTCTTGGAGTACGCAGATGCAGCTCTGGTTTCCAAAGGCCACTAGAGGGCCAAGGCAGCCTAGTGCCCATGTGCAGGGCCTCTCAGTGTGTATGTGCAGAACCTCTGTCAAGGTTGGGCTGCAGAGGTGCCCCACCTTCTCTTCCACTCTGTGCCGACCCAAAGAACTATAGCAAGGACCACAAGGAACACAACATTCTCCAGGCAGCCTTGCCCCAGAGTCAAACTAAGGGCCTGAAGGATGATGAGTGACCCTTCAAGTTGATGCACCCCCAAGTTTTTGTGTCCCTGAGCTCTGTTCACAGGGACTCCATTCCTCTATACTTGGATTCTGACAGATAAATAGTGAGATTAGTACATTTCTTTTAGTACTAGGGATTGAACACAGGGATGCCTTACCACTTAGCTACAAACACACACACACACACACACACATACACACACACACAAACACAAACATATATATATATATATATAGCCGGACTTACCGGTCTACATTACCATGCCCAGCCTTTTTACAATTCCTTTGGGTCTACGAATGAAATTACTGGGTCATATGATAATTGCTTAGCTTAAATATTGATTGAGAAACTACTATATTTCATGAAGTGTTTTAAGTACTGACAACACACTATTTATGATATTGGAAAAAATAGATAAGATCTCTGCTCCTTATACTTAAATAGCAAAACAAAACACAATAAACAATACATAACAGTGGCATATAATTTGTGGCACAAAATGAAAAGGCAGGTCCATTGCTTAAAAATTATTAAAATATCAAGATAAGCCTGGTTCATTGGTAAATGCTTGTAATCCCAGGGCTTGGGAGGCTGAGGCAGGAGGATCACATGTTCAAAGCCAGTATCACAACATAGAGAGGCCTTAAGCAACTTAGTGAGACCTTGGCTCAAAATGAAAATATAAAAAAGAGTTGGGTATGTGGCTCAGTAGTAAGAATCTCTGGGTTCAATTCCCAATACCTAATAATAATAATAATAAAAATAATGATAATATTTTAACAGTGAGTTGCTTAGCACTTTGCCCATTGCTGAGGCTAGGCTTGGAACTTGCAATCCTCCTACCTCAGCCTCCTGAGCCACTGGGATTATAGGCATGCACCATTATGCCAGGCCCTGAGCCTATTCTTAGAAACCTGTTACATAGTTACTAGTTGTAATTTATGCTGCCTCAACTTTAATATTCAGAAACTACACTTAGTGCATGACTTGTGTTACTAAAGCTTCACATTCAGTATTAATTTATTATGTTCAGGTACTCTAATCTGTTTCTCTGTCAGAATCAATATGTCATTTGTTAGGACTATCAAGCTTGCTATTTCCTCTACCTTGTAACACTTTTTCAGTTCTTCATAAGGTTGTCTTCATCTTGCTATTTAGGTACCAGCTCAAATATTTCCAGTTTACCTTCCCTGTCCCACCCCTGAGTCACACTGTTGGATGGATGCCACTTAAACATGTAAAGATGTAGTTAGTACAGGTCAGTCTACCAAGCACCATGCTTTAGGGTCTTGGTCTTAGGATCATGTTAATGTTATCTTGCTTCATTTCATGTGTTGCTTTTTTTCTGTGTGTTTATCATCCATCTTGCCCCTAGAATTTCAGATTCTTGAGACCAAGGGCCTGATCTTGATCATATCTATATTACTACCTTCTAGAAACAATGACAAATGCTTGTTAGGCACTCCATAAATATTTGCTATGTGCAAAAAAAAAAAATCTCACTTCCACACTGATTAATCTATTCCAAGGAAAAAAAATACATAATTATGGAGGCAAGAGGTCCAAAGATTTGCAGGACACATTAAACAGGCCACTCAAGAGAGCTAGTGGTTTTAGTTCTAGTTCAAAATCTATCAGACTTAACACTGAGGAAGAACAGGTATTTTCATCGGGTATTTTGCTGCTGTGACTAAAGGAACAATTGTAACTGCTGTGACTAACTAGAATGATTGTAAAGGAACAAAAGTTTAGTTAGGGGCTAGTAGTTTCAGAAGTCTCAGTCCATAGACAGCTAAATTCATACCCATGGGGCTCCACTTAAGGCTGAACAACATGGCAGAAGACTGCTTCAGAGGGAAGTAGCTCACATTGTGATCAGGAGGGAGAGGGGGAGAGAGAGAGAGAGAGAGGAAGAAGAAGAGAGAGAGAGAGAGAGCCACCTCCTCCAGCCACATTCTGGGCAGGACAGGCCTCCTGACCCACAAAAGGA